GGAGGAGGAGGAGGAGGAGGAGGAGGAGAGTTGGGGTTTTTCATTCATTCATTCATTTATTTATTTTATTTATACCCCGCCCTCCCCGCGAACGGGCTCAAGGCGGCTCACACAAGGCACTAAGTGCAATCAACATACAAAATATATAATACATATTGAAAGTTAAAACAGATTAAAATCGATACAATGGATGCACCTAAGAACTCCTCACTTATTGCGTGGGGGGGGGGGGAAGGCCAGGTACTGAAAAGATGTTGCTCGGCCACCCTAACGGTCTCTCTCTCTGTAAAGGGCGGTGGTACAGGTGGCCGTGGCGGCTCCTACTCATAGGCCTGGTGGAAGAGCTCCGTCTTGCAGGCCCTGCGGAACTGTTGTTAGTTTGTGGGGAGGGCAGGATACAAATGGAGCAAAAGAAATACATTTTTATATCCCGCTTCTCTCTACCTTAAGGAGCCTCAGTGGCTTATAATCGCCTTCCCTTCCTCTCCCCACAACAGGCACGTTTTGAAGTAGGTGGGGCTGAGAGAGCTCTGAGAGAACAGGACTGTAGTCTATACTACTGTCTATAAAGGTAAGGTTCCCTTGCTCGAAAGCCAGTCGACTCTAGGGTTGCGGTGCTCATCTCCGTTTCAAAGCCGAAGAGCCAGCACTGTCCGAAGACATTTCCGTGGTCATGTGGCCGGCATGACTAAACACCAAGGCGCACGGAACGCTGTTACCTTCCCACTGAAGTGGTACCTATTTATCTACTTGCAATGTCTTGCTTTCAAACTGCTAGGTTGGCAGGAGCTGGAACTAGAGACGGGAGCTCACTCCGTCACGCGGCACACTCGGGTCTCGAACTGCTGAACTACCGACCTTCCACAGCCTGCAGTTCAGCGTCTTAACCGCTTGAGCCACCGCAGCTCCACTACTGTGTATAGTTTGCTGCAAACTGAATCCTACTAGTAATCTTGCATCATTTAACATGGCATGTTAAAACTCATGCCTTGCTTCAGTTCTGGTTTTTAGATCTCGGGTTGGTTCTACAACCCAAACCCTATTTAATTGTTTAAGAAATGTCCCATCCTGTTGACTGCCTTGGTTCACATGGCATAATCTGGAAAAGGCGGAGTGTCAGTAGAGTAAATAGATGAACAATCGATTGCCGTTGCTCTTTTGAAAAGATGCCGAAATTGGGGAAACGGTCCGGGCTCCTTGTGATAGTCCACGGAGAGAGTCATGAGCAGAAACTTGTCCTACAAGAGCAAGTTTCAAGTCCCGTCGTAGCTTAGAGGCCAACGATATTTTCCAGGGTATAGACTTTCAAGAGTCAAAGTTCCCATCGCCAGATGTGGAGTTGTGATTCTCGAAAGCTTATACCCTGGAGGATCTCGTTGGTCCTTAAAGTGCGACCGGATTCAAAATTTCACTTTTCTACTGCAGACCGACAGAGCTACCCACCTTGCCACCAGCGACCTGTTTGTGGCCGAACCCCTTCTTCGGGGCTTTTCTTCTGGGGGAACATACCAGAGCAGAGTTCCAGAACCTCCTCAACAAAAAAGAAGAAGAGATTGGATTTATACCCCGCCCTTCACTACCCAAAGGAGCCTCAGAGCGGCTTACAAACCCCTTTCCCTTCCCCTCCCCACAACAGACACCCTGTGAGGTAGGTGGGGCTGAGAGAACTCTTTCGAGGACTGCCCTTTCAAGGACAGCTCTGGCAGAACTACGGCTTGCCCAAGGTCATCCAGCAGCTGCAAGTGGAGGAGTGGAGGAATCAAACCCGGTTCTCCCAGATTAGAGTCCGCGCACTTAACCGCTACACCAAACTGGCTCTCGTTTAAAAAGTTTGTGAGTTTGTGAGTTTTCAGTAGACAGATTGAAAACTTCATTTCCCTCTTGAGAGTTCCGGCACCTCCCCCCCCCCCCAAAAAAAGGCCCTGCCCTTCTTGAACCATTAAATCACAACTGGGAGGCCACCTTGATTTTTCTTCTGTCGAGGAGGTGCAATTCTGCAATGCATTGCGGCTTCAGGGCATGTTCTAAATACGCCCATCCGACCTTCCATTTTACGGCAGGGATCGTAAAGATCTCCATGTGTGTTCTGAAGGGACTCTGTCCAGTTAAGTCTTTCTGCCTTTGCACCACCATTTATTTGTGATTATGCAACATTGAGTGGCGGGACGGGGGGTGGGGGGCAGTGTTCGAAGGAGGAGGGTAGCGACAGGTGCTGTGTGTTCTGTTTTCTGTGCAAAGGTGCTTTTTAATCTCAGGCTAGAATGGGTTGCTATAGAGATCGCTCCTTTCTATTTAAACACGAGCATGTGATGTACGAGAACGGGGCACACAGCGAGGAAAAGAAACCCAGGCTCGTCAGCCGCCCGGATCATTTGCCGCACGCCCACTGTACGCCATGGCCTGCTGGGTGCTGGACAAACGACTGGTGTCCAATACACACACACACACCGACGCATCTATTTCTGAAGTGCAAAGAAAGCAGCAAAACAAAAAAGGTGCATTAAACTCTCGTTGGGTCAACGTACATGGTTCAAGTCAACAAGATGCTCAGACCAGGAGGAGAAGAGAGGTCCACGGTCCAATCTGCTTAGCAGTTGACAGAAACGGGAGGCTCTAAATTATCCGTGTTCCTTTGACTCCGGTGGGAAAGGAAGAACAGATGAAGAGCCCTGCTGGATCACACCAGTGGTCCATCCAGTCCAGCACCCTGTCTCACACAGTGGCCAACCACTTCCTCTGGAGGGCCAACAACAGGGCAGAGAGGCTGAGGCCTTCATTAGAACATCAGAAGAGCCCTGCTGGATCAGACCAGTGGTCCATCCAGTCCATAGATATAGGAAGAGGGTGGGTGGTAAATTAGCATACAGCATAATGAAGATGTTTAACAGATGTTTAATAGTTTATATATAAACTAAGCTTGTTATTCCTGTTGGGTCCTTGAATCTGTTAAGCATCTTCATTATGTTGTATGTTAATTTATGCTCGCCCTCTTCCTACATGTATGAACTGGTAACTTCCATTTCACTGTATCTGAAAGAGTATGCGTACACACATAAGCTTATACCCTGAACAAAAACTTGGTTGGTCTTAAAGGTGCCACTGGACTCAAACTCTGTTCTAAATCTTAAATGTCACTATAGTTTCACTGTCCCAGTTAGCCTTTGGTGTCACAGTATTTGGATCTGAGCTGCCTGCAATTCCCTCCTCTGACCAGCACTGCCGGTGGCGCCAGTGAGCCGGCAAACCTGGGCCTGACGTTCAGGGCTTGTGGCTTGGAGTCCCAAGATACTATCCCACCCTATTTTCCCATTTCTTCCCTCAGAAAGACTTGCTGAATATCTTATCTAACAAAAACACGGGGTAACATTCTTTGTTTTGGGTTGTCGGCCAGTGGGGAGATGTTATAAAGGCCAGATTCTATTGAACGTGCCCTTCGATACAAGGCTGAATTTTTTAATTATTATTATCAGGCAGCTGAAATGAAAAATAAGCCTGTGGAGGAAAGGAAAGAAAGGGAAGGAGAAAAAACTGACATCAATCTGACAAATCAGGCAATTATGAGAACGGCCCTGAAACCGTATTTGTGATTCTGATGCCAAAGGGGTTGTTTTCTTATTTCCGAACAGGTGGGTGTTTGAATGGAGTCCAGAGATACCAAAATATTTTTAGAATGTCAGAATCCAGCCTTCTTCTTCAGACACACAATGTAGCTGGAAGAGAACCAAGTCGCGGGAAGACTGAATGGCATCCAAGTGTACCCAGCAAGCTTGCTACTTTTGTGTGCTATTCATATTTCTTTTTTAAAAAAAATTAAGAAATTCATGCTCGGGAGGGGTTCAGGGAGGGCTGGCACTTGACTGACACGTGGTGATTTATACAGAAGCGCCTTGATGATGAGACTGCCGCCGTCTCAAGAAGATTTCACTCGGAAATCCGCCACCTTTCAGTTCCTGATGAAAGGAGGCATGATTTTAACACAAGGGGAACGAAATTTGTACAAAAACCCAAAAGGAAGAGTGTCGTTACATGATGACATGCTCAGTTTCCAAAGAAGGCCATGGGTCGATGTCTCATTGGTCAAAACTGATCATGTACTGGCAAATTCAAGCAAGGACGTGATCTGTTCAGTGGCTGGCTTCACACCGGCTGCAGCCGAAAGCTGCCGAATTGAGGTGGGCGGTTGTGATCATTTCTTGCTGAAGGGTTATTATTAAAGACCTTCTGGCTTCTGTACTGCTACTTCTAACATTTTCATTGTGGGATCTATTTATTATTGTTAGAAGAAGAGATTGGATTTATACCCCGCCCTTTACTACCCAAAGGAGTCTCAGAGCGGCTTACAACCTCCTTTCCCATCCCCTCCCCACAACAGACACCCTGTGAGGCAGGTGGGGCTGAGAGATCTCTTTCGAGAACTGCCCTTGAGAGAACAGCTCTGAAAGAACTTATGATTGACCCAAGGTCACACCAGCAGCTGCATATGAAGGCGTGGGGAATCAAACCTGGTTCTCCCAGATTAGAGTCTGTGCTCTTAACCATTACACCAAACTGGCTATTAGAGTAGATTGTTATCATCCCTTAGCCAACATTCCGTACAAATCTAACTCGCTGGACTGACAACCACTATAGAGTTTCCAGTGTTCCTTAGAGTTTCCCAGGCCCCTGCCACACGGGGGGAAAGGAACGGGCGAAAGTGCGGCTTTATAAAGCCGCACCAAAAGAAAAATGCGGCGGCGGGATCACATTGATCCCCTGAGCCGCGGCGCATTCCCTCCCCGGCACGATCAGATGCCGGGGAAAGCGACAGTGGGGAACGTGAGACTGCCGAACTGCGCATGTCTGAGCATGCGCAGCTCAGCCAGGAGCCGGGGATGCGCCGGCAGAAGGACGCGCCGGCGATCCCATGGCCGGCCTTGATGCGGCCGCGCTGGAAGAACCACCTCGGTAGGTGGTATATTTTTGCTGCGCCTTTTCGGGGGTTGGGACGGATCGGGGACGGGTGCGCACCGCTTCCCAGATGTTGCGGTGAGATCGCGCCTGTTTGCTGCGCCCCCAATCCGTCCCTCTCCCGGGCCAAACCTTTACGTGTGACCGGGGCCCCAATGTCCCTTCTGGGTTTTCTCTGGAAGTGATGTCATGGTGCACAGAGTGCTGACTTTTTCCCCCTCTCCCACCGCAACTTGGTCTGACAGTGGACAATGCAGGTTGCTAGTGGGAGGCCTCCCACCATAACGGTAGACCCGGCAACCCTATTGTTAAGTCCTGCAAAATTCCCCGTACAAGAACAAAATCCTTGTATTGGACCAACCAAATTAGGCACGAAACACTGATTCAAGCCTTTGAACCCATCAGAACTCTTCATTAGGCGTAATGTTACGAGACTGAAAGAAACTGAATGTGGGGAGCAGATCTTTTGGGGCGTGGTGTAAAGGTCTGATCTTGCCAGCTTCCTCAATGAGATGCTAGCATGCCATAAGCTTAACTTTTTTTTCTGAGGTGTAGGGTTGCAAGTGTTCCCTCTAAGCTGAGTTAGTGTGAGCTAGCTCACAGTTTTTTGGCCTCCAGTTCACGGATTTTTGTCTAAGCTCAGGTAGGATGGCTCCAGAGCAAACTAATTTACGCAGTAGCCAAATCACTCGCTCACAATTTTAATGCCAGTAGCTCACAAAGTAGAATTTCTGCTCACAAGACTCCACAGCTTAGAGGGAACATTGGTTACAACATTATCTCTGGGAAGATCTGCTCAGTCAATCTCCATTCTTTGTTCTTTCACTGGAATACAGAAACCATCTGAAGTGCATCTCCTTTGTGACATCAGATTAGCTACACCAATGGTAGCCAGAGGAGCCATGACGCTCTGCCAAAGCCCTGCTCTGACTTCAGGACAAATAAGCCAGAAACATCAAGACAGGAAGTGGCAGGCAGAGAAATCCGTGAGCTGATGGCAAGATTAAAGGGGTCAAAAGACAAAGAGACACCTGAGGGAAGCCCCCAAAACACTTTAACATCTTATATTCTAACAGCAAACTTCGGATATCTTTATATACGTAAATCCAGTGACTGGAGTTGTGAAAAGGCAAGACAGATCTTTCTAAAAACATGGCTTTGTGGAAAGTTGTGAAATAGATATAAAATAATTACACTGGGCAGCTTAAAAAACCCCAAAATGATAAAAGGCGCGCCTGTAGCTTTAAGCAATGGATTCCCTGAGTGGCTGCTGCTAGGCAACCACAGCATTCCAAGCTTGGCTCTGTCAGTAAAAGGCAGGGGGAGAAGGAGGACCCTTTCCAGCCCTGTTTTGGCTGTTGACAGGGCGGTTGACAACAAAAAATATACAACCCAAAATAAATAGTTAAAATTAAAGTAACCTCAGATGGTGGTAGAATAAATGACTTGCAGCAGCAGGGAAAAAAATAAAGTAGGGGAGAAGAAGAGGAGGAGGAGGAGGAGGAGATTGGATTTATACTCCGCCCTTTACTAGAAGTCTCAGAGCGGCTTACAAACTCCTTTCCCTTCCCTTTTCCACACCAGACACCCTGTGAGGTAGGTGGGGCTGAGAGAGCTCTGACAGAACTATCCTTGAGAGAACAGCTCTGACAGAACTATGGTTTGCCCAAGGTCATCCAGCAGCTGCAAGTGGAGGAGTGGGGAATCAAACCCCGTTTTCCCAGATTAGAGTTCGCACTCTTAACCACTACAAACTGGGAAGGGAGTGCCAGATGAGGTAGAAACCATTGCTGTCCTCAACCAAAGGCCTGGCGGAACATCTCAGCCTTACAGTCCCTACGGAACTCCATAAAGTCCCACAGGACACGGATGTCACTTGGCAAGAGAGTTCCACCAGGTAGGAGCCAGGGCTGAAAAGGCCCTGGCTCTGGTTGAGGACAGCTGGATGTCTTTTGGCCTAGGGATCATCAGTTGAAAGAGCGCAGGGTTTGGGGAGCGGAGAGGCCTCAGCGGGGTATAGTGCCACAGAGTCTACCCTTCAAAGCAGCCATTTTCTTCAGGGGACAGATGTGTGGAGTTTACTTGTAATTCTAGGGAATCTCCAGGTCCCACCTGGGGGTCAGCATCCTTAGGCCTGGCAGCAACCTCTGGTTGACCTGATGCCACCTGACATAATAGCATAGAGACCACCCTCCAAATTTGCCATTTCCTCCAGGTGGACTAGGGTTGCCAACCTCCAGGTGGAGACTGGAGATCATCCAGAAGTACAACTGTTTTCCAGATGACAGAGATCAGTTCAATCAAGAAAATGGATGCTTTGGAGGGTGGTCTCTATGGCACTGTACCCCACTGAGGTCCATTTCCTCCCAAAGCTCCACTACCAAATCTCCAGGGATTTCCCAACCTCGATCTAGCAATCATAAGAGGAACTGATCTCTGCAGCTCGGAGATCTGTTGTAATTCCAAGAGATCTCAAGTAGGGGCTTTCAGGAAAAGGAAAGAGGAAATAGTGGGAAAAGGGGAAGTGAGATGCCTGCCGCAAGTCCTTGTGGGTTCCTACGTGTCTACATAATATTAGCCACACGTGGCCATCATTGGTAGGTATTGAAATCTGTGGATCAGGGCCACATGGATATTAAAGAAAATTTTCTGCAAACTTGGGGGTCCCCCTAGGTTTGCAGAAAAATCTTAAATCTTCAAAAAAAAAACTCGAGGGGGTATTTCCCCCCAAATTAAAGTGGCATTCTCTGCACTTGCCCTTACCTCCAGTGTTCGCTGGTGGGACAGGAAAGCTGTGCTGGGCCTGGCGGTGGTAGCGACACTGCCTGGGTGCCTCGTGGGGCATGCCATTGGCAGCAGCTGTGAGTTGCACTGGGCCTGGCTGTGGCCATGCCGCCTGAGAGCCCTGCTGGGTCCAGGAGTAGTGGCCACACAGCCCAGCAAAGCCCCTGAGTCATGCTGGGCCCAGCATGAAAGTGGGGGAGAGAGGGAACCCCCCCGTGAGTATCATGGGCCCACACTTGAGTGGCTCCCCAACAATGCCGCAGGGAAGGGAGGGAGGAAGCCTCAGTGGGCCCAACTGGAGCAGCTCCGGGTGAGCCACTGAGACTGGGGAGGTGGGGAAGGAAGCCTCGGCGAGCCCAGCCAGAGCAGCTCCGGATGAGCCAACGAGAGCAGTGGGGGAGGTGGTGGGCCCAAAGGCTGCAGGGGAGCCCAGGGACCACACAAAGCCGGGTCAGAAAGTGGGGGGAGATAGGATCCCCCATGAGTATCGTGGGGCCCCACCTGTGGTCACTATTTCAGCTACCACTACTCTATACAAGATTTTGAACGCAATCCGTGGACAGCTACTCAACGCAAAACAGACTCGAACAACACTCACAGCTTTTAGGCTCTGAAGCTGTCAGACGACAACTGTCTAACACTGTAGCATGTGTCCTAAGTTAACTCAACATTGACATGGTAAACACAACAGCAGGTGTCTTTCGGGAGACCTCAGCGAGAATCAAAACACCCTTATGTAAGAGGGGCTCTTTATCCTACCTCCGGGCTCCAGGCCGACGAGCTATCCGTTGCGTCGTTTCCTTCAAAGGCTTGGTTACTAAAAGCCGTTTCCATTTCCAAACTCCCTTCGGTTTCTTGCCGGCTGAGGCTGGGTGTTGCACCGGGCTCCATCTCGGGGTCTTTGGGCTGACCGGAGCCCCTGCTCTCCGACGCGGTTCTCGAATCGAAGGAGAGGCGGTCATCTTCATGATAAGAGAGGTTGTCTTGGTAACTCAGTTGGCTGAACCCATCCAGATCTAACACATTTTAAGGAGAGAAAAATAACTTTTGGAAGGATTCACATCAACACCTTTATCATTGCTTGTGAATGTGTTTGTGTCTTTTAACCCAGTACAGTCTGGATCTTGGATGTGCTAGCTAGGCATGAGAGACTTCTGAATTCCTATCCTGAGCACTGAATTCACTATGTAAAAATGATCCGTTCTAACCACAATGCAAGGAACAAGTCAAATTAGTCCTTTAGTCAGGACCCCAAGGGTCTCATCAGACATGGGTGTTGTATCTTGCTACTCCACTGGACAGAGCTTGAAGCCTTCCTCCAACAGAAGAACTCCTCAAGTTGTAGGAAGACCCCCCTTAGGCTGGAAGAATTTTCTGTGGCCTAAGGTAGGATGCATGTCACTATACATTTAAGTACACACCTTAAAGTGCAAACTCTGGATGTGGACAAAATTGAGAGGGTGCAGAAGAGAGCGCCGAGGATGATCTGGGATCTGGAGACTGAGCCCTACAAGGAAAGGCTGAGGGCCTTGGGAATTTTTAGTTTGGAAAAGAGGACACTGAGGGGGGACATGGTTGCTTTCTTTAAATATCTGAAAGGCTGTCGTTTGGAGGAGGGCAAGGAGCTGTTCCAGTTGGCAGTAGAGGAGAGGACTCGAAGCAACGGGTTTAAATTACATGCAGAAAGGTATCGGCTGGATATTAGGAAACACTTTTTCATGGTCAGAGTGGTTCAAAGGTGGAATCGGCTGCCTAGGGAGGTGGTGAGCTCCCCTTCACTGACAGCCTTCAAGAAGAGGCTGGATGGATATTTGTCAGAGATGCTCTAGGCTGGTCCTGCATTGGGCAGGGAGTTGGACTAGATGGTCTGTAGGGCCCCTTCCAACTCTAGGATTCTATGACAAATCTTTAAAAGTGTGTGTGAGGGACGAACCACTGGTCCGGCACAAGCCTTATATTCACGACTTCGGTCCCCAGCACATCCAGTTCGAGGATCTCAGAGCCAAACTAGATGTTACACGTGACATGAGTTGGGACACAATAATGGCTGTCCCCAATATTTGTTAACCGAGAGCCAATCTAAACATTACGCATGACGTAAGTCAGGACGTGGATGCCTGACCCGACTCACTGTCACCCAGAAGAACTGGGGAAGTTACTTTGAAAGTGTTCCATGGCTCCATTCAGCTCTGGAGCACTGCAAGGGAGGAGGAGGAGATTCTGGTTTCCCTACCGTGCCCTTTTTGACAGTGGAAATGGCCCAAAGGGGCTGGGAAAACTGGCCTCCCCCCCCCCCAATCTGTTTCGGTTCATGAAAACAGTGCAATAAAAAAGCCGAAAGACACTCCCCCTCACAGTGCTGAACTGAGCAATGGAATCCTTTCGAGGTTAGTTCCCCAGTTCTTCTGTGCGACAGCGAGCTGCGTCAGGCACCTGTATCCCAATTCATGTCCCACATAATGTTTAGATAGGCTCTCAGTTAACAAGTATCGGGAAAAGCCATTTTCTGTCTGAGCTTCTTGGGAGCGATGGCCAATCAGAGACGATCATACTGAACTAGATGGACCAGTAGTCTGACTGAGCATAAAGTCAGCTTCCTACACCTGTCTAATGCAGATATGTGGGTCAAACAACTGGATCGACTGAACCAATTCCACACTTTATGTATGAAGTGCGACCGGTGCACACACCCCGGTGGGTTTCCTGCAGCAAGCACGTCTTTGACTACCTGTGTACATGTCTTCTTATTTTGTTTCTCTAAATGACTAGGTGTTTTTACTCTCCATTTATCCGTTTATTCAATGGAGAAATAGAAGCAGTGTCCTCGGAAGAAATCCTTTAGTAAGGACTGAAATGACCCTGTATACAAGACTCTTCAGTGATGCTGACTCTAAGCACCATCAAAATTGTTTGCAGGCCACAATATCCTCTAGGACAGAGGTCTCACACATAGGGCCCGTGGACTGGAACCGGCCTGACGGGGGCTCTTATCCAGCTCACAAGCAACTGGCTTATTCCAGAAAGCCAGTTTGGGGTAGTGGTTAAGTGCGCGGACTCTAATCTGGGAGAACCGGGTTTGATTCCCCACTCCTCCACATGCAGCTGCTGGATGACCTTGGGCAAGCCATAGTTCTGACAAGAGCTGTCCTTGAAAAAGAGCAGTTTCTGTCAGAGCTCTCTCAGCCTCACCTACCTCACAGGGTGTCTGTTGTGGGGAGGGGAAGGGAAAGGAGTTTGTAAGCCGCTCTGAGACACCTTTGGGTAGTGAAGGGCGGGTATAAATCCAATATCTTCTTCACCATCCTGTCCCAGTGCTAATGTGTAACAGGTGGTGGAAGCGGGAGGGTGGGCATCAGGGAGGTACTTTAAGGGAGATACTGTAAATGTTTTAAGCATGTGTGTATTTAATATTAGCTGATGAGGACCCTGAAACAACTCGCTTGGTGGCAAAATATCTTTCGATAGTGCTATTTTTAAAGCGGCTTTGAAATGTTATAAGTACCTTTTGTATACAATTTTAAAATTTTAAAACTAATTTCCATAATATCATGGGATTTTATAGAATTCATTGAAGTTTATAAAATGTGGTCTGATATTACTGATCGAGAGCATGTTTACTAGCTTTTATTGTAAAGACGTTCTGTCTAAACTTCTTGTAATTATATGTAATGCATTTTATAGTTGCTGTTTGCATGTTTGGCTTAAGACCTCGGGTCAATGAAGCTAATAAATGAAATGGAATGGCACGTGTGTATTTTGAGTCAAAAATAGTACCGTCAATTGGGTTTGCCTGCATCCTTTATAAAGTTTATATCTCCCGTACCTGGCAGTACAGTTTATAGCACACATGGCACGGCCCGACAAAGTGACATTCTTGTCAGATCTGGCCCTCGTAACACATGAGCTTGACGCTTCTGCTCTAGATGACAACTGAACCTAAGGTTGCCAACTGTGGGTCGGGAAATTTCTGGAGATCTGAGGGTAGAGGCTTGGGAAGGAGGGGTTTGGGGAGGGAACTCAGAAGGGTAGAATGCCATAGAGTCCACCCTCCAAAGCAGCCGTTTTCTCCGGGAGGACTGATCTCTGTCTTCTGGAGTTGTCATTCTGGGAGGTCTCCAGGCCCCACCTGGAGGTCGGCACCCCTGATTGAGCCCATGTATTTGTACACAGAGGTAAGTTCCATAGTAGGAGCTACAGTGGCTCAAGTGGTTAAGACGCTGAACTGAAGGCTGTGGAAGGTCGGTAGTTCAGCGGTTCGAGACCCGGGTGTGCCGCATGACGGAGTGAGCTCCCATCTCTAGTTCCAGCTCCTGCCAACCTAGCAGTTCGAAAGCAAGACATTGCAAGTAGATAAATAGGGACCACTTCGGTGGGAAGGTAACAGCGTTCCGTGCGCCTCGGTGTTTAGTCATGCCGGCCACATGACCACGGAAACGTCTGCAGACAGCGCCGGCTCTTCGGCTTGGAAACTGAGATGAGCACCGCAACCCTAGAGTCGGATTCGACCGGCTTTCAAGCAAGGGAACCTTTACCTTTTAAAGTCCCATTGTGGGAGTGAAGGCAGCAGGGTCTAGCCCAATCTCATCGGATCTCGGAACCTACACAGGGTCGGTACTTGGATGGGAGACCTGTACGGAAGACAATGCAGAGGAAAGCAATGGCCAACCGCCTCCGCTTCTCATTTGCCTTGAAAGCCCCTTGCTGGGGTTGCCGTACGTCAGCTGTGGTTTGTAATAATTATTGCATGGCATTGTGTGTAAAGTAGCCAGGAGATTGTCTGGCAGCCAGAAGTCCAAGCTCTTTAGCGTTATGCACCACTAGGTGGCGAGCTGGGCTTGTTTATAGGGCAAGAGATGTTCCAGAGGTGGTTGGCCGTTGCCTGCCTAAGAACATAAAGAGATGCCAGTGTTGGATCAGGCCAAAGGCCCATCCAGTCCAACACTCTGTATCACACAGTGGCCAGAAATACCAGGTGCCATCAGGAGGTCCTCCAGTGGGGCCAGGACATTAGAAGCCCTCCCACTGTTGACACACACCCCAAGCACCGAGAAGACAGAGCATCCCTTGCCCCAGAGTCCCTATCTATACCTTGTGGCTAATAGCCACTGATGGACCTCTGCTCCATATGCTTATCTAGTTCCCTTTTGAAGCCGCCCATGCTTGTAGCTGCCACCACCTCCTGTGGCAGTGAATTCCATGTGTTAATAGCTCTTTGGGTGAAGAAGGACTTCCTTTTATCCGTTCTGCATCACGACCCTGGTATTCCTTGGAGGCCGCCCTTCCAAATACTAGCCGAGGCCGACCCTGCTTAGCTTCTGAGATCTGACGGGATCAGGCTTGCCTGGGCTATCCAAGTCAGGGCAGCTGTAGTTTGACGGCATTTCACACACACAAAAGTGCCACTGTGTTCAGAAAGCACGGAATTTACAGTAAATTTCTCTGCATTTTTCTTTTCAGGACACAGCTCCTTGGACGTCCGCTGGACTCGCTTGGTGGCAACTCAACAGCGGGTGGGGCCTGAGGCTGCGGCCCCCTGCCCCAGCCACCCACACCACCCGGGAACCAGAGCAACGTCCCTTCCCTCTTTCTTCCCCAGGCGTCTTCCAGGACAGTGCTACAAGCCGTACATGCCCAGCAGAGCTTCCAAAGAGTCGGGGGAAGCTCTACGAAACAGGCACTGCTTGCTGCACTGAACTGAGCTGAAAGACGCCTGGGGAACAGGGAAGGGAGGGGCGAGGAAGTGAGCAGCGGGGTCCCATTACGATTGGGACTGAGTGCTATTCAATTTGTTCATAAACGATTCTGAATTGGGCTGAGCAGCGGGGTGGCCAAGTTTGCAGAGGAGACCAAATTACTCAGGATGCTGAAGAGCAAGGCACACTGCGAAGAGCTCCAGGAGGAACTCTCTAGACTGAGTGAGGGACGACAGATGGAGCGGAGGCCCATCAGTGGCTGCCAAGGCTCCCTCTAAGCTGTGGAGTCCTGTGAGCAAAAATTCTACTTTGTGAGCTGCTGGCATTAAAGTGGTGAGCGAGCGATTTGGCTACTGCATCAATTAGTTTGCCCTGGAGCCGTCCCTTCCGGAGCTGAGACAAAGATGTGTGACCCGGAGGCTAAGAAACTGTGAGCTAGCTCACAGTAACTCAGCTTAGAGGGAACGCTACAAGCCACAAGGTAGAGACGGAACACTCTGTCTGGGGCAGTGATGCTCTGTATTCTTGGTGTTTGGGGGGGCCACAGTGGGAGGGCTTCTGGAGTTCTGGCTCCGCTGGTGGACCTCCTGATGGCACCTGGGTTTTGGCCACTGTGTGACACAAAGTGTTGGACTGGATGGGCCTCTGGTCCGATCCAACATGGCTTCTCTTATGATCTTATGCCTGGGGCAAATGATGCTCTGTATTCTTGGTGCTGGGGGGGGGGGGCAAGAGCGGGAGAGCTTCTAGTGTCCTGGCCCCACTGGTGAACGTCCTGGTGGCACCTGGGTTTTGGCCACTGTGGGACACAGAGTGTTGGACTAGATGGGCCATTAGCCTGATCCAACATGGCTTCTCTTATGTTCTCAACATGGCACATGAAGTTCAACATGGGTAAGTGTAAGGTAATCCATTGTTGTTGTTCAGTTGCACAGTCGAGTCTGACTCTTCGCGACCCCATGGACAAGATCTCGCCAGGCCCTCCTGTTTTCCGCCGTCCATAGTGTGATAAAAAACAACCCTCATTTTAAATAAATGTTGGTTGGTTCTGAACTGGCTGAGATTGAGCATGACACAGATCTTGGGGTTGTAGTGGAAAGCTCGATGAAAACGTTGATCGAGTGTATGGCTGAAGTGAAAAGGGCAAACTCCATGCTAGGAATTATGATAGAAGGGGCTCAAAATAAATAGAATACAAAACTATTTTTGGAATACCGCGTGCAGGATAGGTTCAGGGGGTAGCCGTCTCGGTCTGGAGAAGAACAGCTAGATCTGAGTCCAGTAGCACCTTAGAGATCAACAAGATTTTTTGTTTATACTATGTCGGGGAGGGGCTGTGGCTCAGTGGTAGAGCATCCGCTTGGCATGCAAAAGGTCCCAAGTTCAATCCCCAGCATCTCCAGTGAAAGGAATCAGGCAGTAGGTGATATGAAAGACCTGAGACCCTGGAGAGCTGCGGCCAGTCTGATTTAACTCGATGGATCAATGGTCTTATTCAACATAAGGCGGTTTCATGCGTGTGAATCTCAAAAAGCATATGGCAGAGTTGGAAAAAGTACAAAGTAGGGTAGCCAAGATGATTGGAGACTGGAGCATCTTTCCTATGGAGAAAAGATGGAAATTCTGGAACTCTCCAGTTTAGAAAAGAGATAACTAAGGGGAGACATGATAGAGGTTTATGAAATCATGCTTGGGACGGAGAAAGTGGACAGAGAAACTGTTTCTTGCTTTCCCGTAATACTAGAACTCAGGGGCACACCCACAAAAGTTGTTCAGAATTAGGTTCAGGACAGACAAAAGGAAAGTCTTCTTTCCTCAACAAGTGGTTAAACTATGGAATCCACTGCCAGTGGGTGTAATAATGACCACAAGATAGCTTAGTTAGACAGTTTCAACCGGGAGGGGTCCACCAGTGGCTACTAGCCATGGCAACTGAACGGAGCCTCCATTGACAGAGGCAGCAAACTTTTAAATCCGAGTGCCATGAGACAACGTCAGGGGAAAAGGCTTGGCCCTGGGTAGTTGGATCAAAAACTAAAAATGACAAAAATACTGCAATTGTGCATACATATCTACCTGTTAGTTGGATCTCCAGAAGACCTGGTTGGCCACTGTGTGAGACAAGATGCTGGACCAGATGGACCACTGGTCTGATTCAGAAAGCTGTACTTAAGCTTTTATGAGTGTTATCTGCCTCCCATCCAAGGCCACAACTTCATTCCCTACCCATTGTAGAGCTAGCTGTGGGCCTCCCGAGTCAGCCTTCATAGGACTGCAGCCATCAATCCTTCGTCCAATTCCATGGATTTTCGGCTGCACCGAAAAATCAGCGGGACTCGTGTACGTAACAGATTGTCGCTCTAAAATTAACATGCTGGTGTTTGACATATATTTGGAACGCAGGGACATCCATCAGAGCCATGGGATGGAAGGCAGGGCTTTTTTTTAAAAAAAAATGCTTTAAATAAATAAATAAATAAAAATGTAAATGCCACAGGCTTTTAGAATAGAAGTGCGTCTCTGCAGAAAAATTAAATCACACACCTCCCACGCATACGCCCAGCGTTTTACGGAATTGGGCTTCAGCCAGGGTTTCTTTTAAACTTCAAAAAATGTACCGAGATTATTCAGAAATGCAGTTGGGGGGGGGGTTTTCATTGGGGCTGAATGCTGCGTAGCCCTGCAGCATTTAAACTGAGTTCGGAAGGATCACGGGGTTCTGCGGAAGGTGGCTAGGGGGGTCTCCAGGCTGAGGGAATGGCAGGCAAATTTTCTAGAAAGTTCCTCCCCTGTTGCCCACAGATGCAGGGTGAAACTGGGACGCATTCAAGAACACGTGACAAAGTCAAAAGTGGGGTTGCCCAACAGACTGGGAGGAAAATGTCCTGTCCCTATGGGTCTATGAAGCTTTCCATGGCATGGGGGTAAATAACATCGCATGCAGCCTCTGTTAAAGGGACAGGACTTTTTTTCACCAGGCAGTAGGCAACTTTACCTGCCAATATTCTCCCTATATACACTTAGACCAGGGGTGTCGAACTCATTGGTTACGAGGGCCAGAACTGACATCAACGAGACCTTGTTGGGCCGGGCCATGTGTGTCATAAAACGTAGTGCCAGGTAGCAGAGATATAAACTTTATAAAGGACACAAACACAGGCTGCGGTCACACGGAGCATTAGCCACGCTACTGAGACGGATGATAGGTGGATTTTTCGGGCACGATCACACCGCAACATCTGGGAAGCGTAGAGCTCCCATGGCGAACCCGAGGCTTCCCGCCAAAGATGCGGCGTAAAAAATTAGTACCTCCGAGGTACTAGTTTCCGGAAACCGTGGGGCAAGGGCTGGCATCTGATCGCATTTCCGGTGGTAGTCCGTGGCATCCGGCACCCGCCCATGTCCCGTCGCAAACAGGTTTTTCTCCCCAAGTCTCCACAGGATGCGCACAAGCACCCAACGGCACATGCGCATGAAGAGGAAAGCGAAAGTTCCATTGCTCCGCGGAATCGCGCATGTCGTTGGCAAGATCACGCCGCGCAGCTTCTTTGCCGTGCTGCAGGATCGTCTGTGATCGCCACCTCCCCCCGAACCACGGGACGTCGGCGGGATGTGGGATCCGGTGGCCACGCATTAGTTTGCTCCGGGGCAAACAGCCACACTTCCCCCCCCGCATTTTCCAGCCCGTGTGACCGGGGCCACAAAGGGGTTTTTAACTTAAAATAAAAACATGCTTAAAACATTGGCACTCTTGCAATACTTTGTTTATTTAACAGTGTCTGATAACTGACACCTCTTCCTCTGAATTAGTGCATCAAAACGTCTGTGCTGTTGCAATCTTGAGTATGCTGTTCAGGTGCGTATCTGTAAGCTGCAAACCTACGATGACACGGCAGCAGCAGAACTGGAAGAAGAAGCAGAAGACCGCCAGTTCCATTGCGGGCCTGATAGAAGCCCCCCGGGGGCCTGATCCGGCCCCCCGGTCGCACGTTTGACACCCCTGACTTAGACTGTTTGGAGGGATGTGCTCCCGAACCCTTTGCAGGTGATACAGGGGGCAGTTTTAGGAGGTAACGTTTTTTGACCAGGATAGCCCAGGATAGCCCGATCTTGTCAGATCTCAGAAGCTAAACAGGGTTAGTCCTAGTTGGTATTTGGATGGGAAACCACATGGAAGTCTAGAGTTGCTACGCAGAGGCAGGCCACGGCAAACCACCTGTGAACATCTCTTGCCTTGAAAACCCTACCATAAGTCGGCTGCGACGGCACATTCCAACAAAGTTTTTGAGGTAATTAACAGCTTCTGAGAAGTGTCAGCAGGAGATGTACAGACACCTGGAGAAGCCCCTCATCGGGTAAAACTTTTCACAGCAAGATCCTTTGCGAAAGGTTACGCCTGTTTATTGAGATCTTTAATGCAGAATGTATGCACGTCACTGATAAATGCATGCAAACACTGGGATTGGGTAGAACTCAGATTCTTCAACTGCACAGCGGGGGCATTCCATACAAACACGGAATCAAGTCCAGGTTTGGTTGTTGATTCTCCAAACCAAACCACTGCATTTATGTTGGGTGGATTAAGGTAGTACCTTCGCATTCTGATCCCTCCGTACTGTATTCTTCGTGGTTCGAAAGCAAGCGGTTGAATTTGGGCCTACGCTCGAAACCCGCCTGGGTCCCTTTTTCGGAAACTCCCGACCGAAAGCTCTGGGACCGTGAGACGGAGATCTCGAACTGCTTAATCACCTCGTCGTCGCTGTCGGAGGATGTCGTTAGATCCTCATCCTCCCCGTAACTGTTCACTGGGAGAAAAGAAGACACACACAAATATGCTTTTGACAGCTCACGGTACAAAATTCAGAGAAAACGGGGATCGTTTCCCCCCTCGTGTGGGGAAAGAAACGCAAAGGAAAACGGGGCAGAAGGCAGCAAGTGGTGCTATACAGCAGTGTTTCCCGTTCCCAACCTGTGGCTCAGGACCCAAAAGTGAGTCGTGAAGCCTCTGCAAGTGGGTGGTAGGCCAGCCCTCCCTAATGGCTGCCCCTTCACATTGCTCTCTTTTAGTCTTGTTTCCAAGATCTGACCCTGGAAACAGTATCTTCCATTTCTTCTTCACTGCATATGCATGACGATCAAGTAAAATGTGTCCTGATGGTCAGTCTGGTGTAGTGGTTAACAGCGCAGACTCTAATCTGGGAGAACCCGGTTTGATTCCCCACTCGTGCAGCTGCTGGTGCGACCTTGGGTCACTCACAAGTTCTCTCAGAGCTGTTCTCTCATGAGCAGTCCTCGAAAGAGCTCTCTCAGCCCCACCTACCTCAAAGGGTGTCTGTTGTGGGGAGGGGAAGGGAAAGGAGACTGTAGGCCGCTCTGAGACTCCGAGTGAAGGGCAGGGTATAAATCCGATCTCTTCTCTTCTCACTACGGTGAGTGAGGATCTCGGGGGGGGGGTTAACAAGAGTACTGGAGAAGGAGATGGTGGTCAAAGGCTGGAATGTAACCTCCATGTGCAAAGGCTATGTATGTCAGGATGCCAGTAGCTTTGGGGTTCATAGTAGGGGCAATGTTTCTTGGTTTCTCGAAAACATCTGGTTAGCCACTGTAGAAAATGGAATTCTGAAGCAGACGGGTGACACAGTCACCATACCGGGTAAATTTGGACTTGTGGGTCACCATACTGGAAAGGCTGGGAACCGCTGCTATAGGGCACCGACTCTTGGCCCATTCCCTGATGTCTGCAGTCCACGGAAGATAGGTACGAAGTGCTGGACAAGATTCTTCTCTGCCCGAGAATCTTGGAGAACCACCACTTGAGAAAAGGCGGCTTCGTTCATAGATTCACTGTCCATCTCGACCTCCAGTAACCTGCCTCGCCGCCCCCCCCCCTGACCTTCCATGCTCCTATTAAGGATCTCTTTATTGAATCAGCAAAATTGATTCGTTTCACTTGTTTTGCCTTATTCTTTTTTTCCCCCTTCTCTTTTGTTGTTCTTTTCTGACGTGGGGAATTTTTTGGAGCCATGAACAAGACTGGTCGCCAGGAGTGTCACACTGGTTAGGTTTCCTTCTTGTTATACTTTAAACAGTTGAACAAATTTAGAGTCCGGTGGCACCTTAAAGACCAACAAAGTTTTATTCAAGGTATGAGCTTTTGTGTGCAGGCGGACTCTTTTTAAAAATCACAAGAAAAAAGATAAGGCTCAGACTTAGAGACGGGGGGGGGGGGCTGACCAGGAAATTAACATGCAACATGACGATGTTTTAAGATGTGCAAAGACAAAACTAAATAACAAGCTAAGGTTATAAGGTCAACAGTTGTAAAGCAATAAATATGTCAAAATAAGACTCACTCCTCTCACGGCTGACTACCTGGATCTACACCTTTAAATAGTTGAAGTATCCATCAGATGATTAAAACTTTATTGGTAAGCATCAACATTCAATGAGTTTCTGATCCTGAAAGGTCAAAGCAGATAGAACAGGGGGCAGGGGTCACTTCCTGCAGGAGCGCACAGGAGCGGAGCTCCGGCAGTAAAGAGCCCAGGGGGTGGGCACATGCAACAAGCCCCACCCCCTGCTCCCAGAAGCCCTCAGTCAGAGCAAGAAGCAGCCAGGTAAGTTGCAGAGCTCCCCCTGGCCCTCCGGTCCAAAACAGTCCAGTGGCACCTTTAAGACCAAGTTTTAAGACCAGGGACAAGCTCTCCCTCCTCTGCGAGGACAGATCTGTACGTTCCCCACCCCAATAGCTAGCAATCCAAAACAGTCCAGTGGAGCCTGAGCGGTGGGTGTTGCCTTCTGACACACTTCCGGCGATGTCAGGGGGTGTGGCCTATGCAAATGAGTTATGCTAATGAGCCCCTGCACCTCTTTTTCTACAAAATGAACCCTGACAGGGGGGGAAACCCAGAGTTCATAGCATGTTCCTCCCGCCACACAACTGGTCATAGGCCCAGCTTAACAACTGAAATGACAGGCATGCACACTGACAAATCAAATTCTGACTCAGCCCTACCCCTGCCCAACCAAGCTTGAAGCAGGCAGTCCACTTTTAAAAGCTTATCTGCTGCATTATTAAAGGTGCAGAAATTGCTCGGAATAAGGAGAGGGAAGTCCTGGTGACATCAGAGCAGGCCAGCCAATCAGCTTGAAGTTCTGCCACAAACCAGTAGAACATCCCTCCCTCACCAAGTGATTGAAAAAAGTATACTTGGACTGAAGAAAGCTTCCTCTCAGTTTGTCTATGCAAGTTACAGCTGTCTTCTCTTCTTATGCCAACAACGGAGGTAAAGAAGAGCATAGAAGTCCAGTGACACAAAACAGAATTATGACAAGTCTCTAAGCCAGCCAGCTCAAAGAACAATTCTAGGAGGAGGGCAACATTCACAGCAAAGTTATATTCAAGATTAAATTGTTAACAAAGAGTGAAGTTCGGTTCCTTTTCTAAAACTAAACAAACTGATCGACCCAGGTTAAGTACACTTTTTTTTAACCTAAAAGGAATTTGTGCCTTTGACATGCAGAACACAGTGCCACTTAAGCAACTGGAGAGTGAACTAGGGAGTTGGTCAGAGATATGGGTTTGGAGTCTGTGGACACTTTTCCCTGGAAGAAGAGGCCATCCCCTAATGCAAGACACTCTAGCTCAGGGATACCCAACCTTTCAGAGTTTGATCCAGGACATTTAGTTGGTGACCTAAAAGTAGCAGTTCTCTTACAAAGCAATTTCAAAGGGAGATTAGAAAGAGAGGCGGCTGGATTGCAATTGATAATGAAACTCAAGACAATGCATCCACCTGGACTGAAAGGAGACCTAGGTTTCCTGTCTCATTACCAATGCTGATTTCTCCACACCTATTACCCCTCTGTATATCTCACCTAAATCCAATCACACCTGCTATTGTCATTCACCTGCTACTGTCATTTGCCTGCTAATGTCATTCGGCATCTAAAATCATTCCACTTTCCAATAAATAGGACAGATGGACTCCCACTCTAGCTGTATCTGAAAAAGTGAGCCGTGACTCATAAGCGCTCCTCCCCTGCCACATATTTTGTTAGTCTTTATGGTGCTACTGGACTCTTGCTCTTTTCTACTGCTTGCAGAGATTGTTATTAGTTTCGAAATCCAAGAACAGGTTATAAGTGCCACCACAAAACAGTTGCCGTGGGAGACAGGGCTAATCACATGAGGTCACCATTACAAAAGGCAGGGAGAGGTTCCAAGCCAAGCATCCTCCTCCTACTTTCCAAGTGGGCACTCCCCGCAGACACAAAAGTGTTGCCGCCTAGATTCTTCTGAAGAATGTTGTGTACAAAAGAAGTAAAGAAAGATACACTTGCATGTCTTTGGGGAAAGACTCGTATGTCTTTGGGGAAAGACATGCTTTGGGGGAGGAGGGGGCTGTGGCTCAGTGGCCGAGCATCTGCTGGGCATGCAGAAGGTCCCAGGTTCAATCCCCGGCACCCCCAGTCAAAAGGACCGGGCAGTAGGTGATGTGAAAGACCTTTGCCTGACACCCCGGAGAGCCGCTGCCAGTCTGAGTGGACGATATGGACTTTGATGGACCAAAGGTCTGATTCCGCATAAGGCGGCTTCACACGTTCACGTGTGTTCGTGCGAGGAAATGAGCACCAGGAAACATGGAGGTGAGCTTGGAGATCATAGCTAAAGCTTCTTGTGTCAGGGGATTTCCAGGATCCAACCCACCATTTCCCCCAAGGAACTAATCACAGGTGAATTAAAACACAGCGGAAGAGGTGGGGAAGACTTGCTACCCCAAAAAAGCTACCGCTTAGGGTACCGACCCATTTGTGTGCCTCTCTGGTCGCTATAGCTTGCTCCTGGTCCCATCTGCTTGCAAGCTGTCAATCTGGGAACCTGATGGTTTGTCTATCTTTAGATCACACCTGTAATATATTCAGTCCCAACTGCGTGGCAGATGGGGGCTCCACGCAGTCCTCCTATACCTCCAAGCTTTGTTCCAGAAAACAATGGACTAAGCGGATCCTAGCCCGCACCAATCGGAGGGCTAAGCTCCCGGCTGAGAGCCCATGGAACTCTCGGCCACTGTAAATAGCCTATTACGGCGTGGGGGGGTGTGTGTTTTGGGTGGTGGTTTCACTGGGAATATAAGCCAGCCTGCGAGCTGGCTAAAGTTGTCTTGTTTTGCACTAATAAAAGTATGAGAGCTGTAATCACTCGTCAGTCTCGGTACTTTTCAACACCTCTCAAACCTCGGATCCCCACCCCCCTCTTGAAGGTTCCCCTTTTATTACTGATCCCTGGCAAACCCTGACACATTGAGGAAGTACAGGCAGCCAGTGAGAATTCCTTTCCCAATGCCTGTGCCGATAGACCCTCAAGCAGAGACGGTACCATTAATGTCTTTGGTGGATCTCCTGATGATCAATCCGGGGAGAACGTAATCAAATGCACAACAAAGCAGTATTTTCATGCAACCCTCACCCCACTCGCCCACCCACCGCCAAACACACCCCAAACGCAAATCCTCAAGTGGAGAGACCTGCCTTTCGTTTGCACACATTTCGGCCATTCGGTTGTGCCGAAAAATCGCTACAGCCTCTCCGTACGCCCCCTCAGCTGCTGCCGGAATTGTGTTCCTTTCATCCTCAAGGTTAAGCAATACAAAATAGTAACACGCTTGACAGTTGGCATGCTCTCTCTCTCTCTCTCTCTCTCACACACACACACATAAATAGATGAAACTCCAACTGTCCCTAACACCCATAGCTCCCTTGTTCCCATGAGTTCCCGAAAGGAAAGCTTCCTCCTGTTTGGTTT